CTGCGATATCTCAGAGCTGTTAAATAAAGATGCATACATGGCGATGTGTCAGATATGCGGAAAGAAGCTGACCCATGAGATATCCTGTAATACGCCAGCTGGGAGATGCCTAAGTGCAAGAAACGGCTCCACGAGTGAAAAAGCCCTCGCCATATCATGCACTATCCAGAGTAAGATATAGAGGGATCGATACGTGAAACTGAACAAGTGACTATCCTTCTCAGGTTCGTTAAAACCAAACCGACCGGCTGTCTTTTCAACCACAAATGTAAGTAGGATGGCAGAGGGAGGGGCAAGCATGAAGATGAAAGAGCACCCCCTCCAGAGAATTCGCTCGATGGATGTTACGAAGGGGTAGTGCCAGGCAGCGCAATAAATGGCGCCGAATACGCCAATGCAATTTCCGCATGCGACAATATAAAACAGCCTTGGGTTGTTCGGATGTCCTGACCAAAGACGGGGGACTCCTTCTTCGCTAGAGGGACCAGCGACATCTGGGATTATGTCCCCGCCGAAGAATATGGACAGAAGGCGAAAATTCACCCAGTCCTTAAGATGTTCGGCGTCTAGGCTCGTGGGGAAAAGGCTAGGGAGTGGCCGCGGTGTTTTCCATCCTTCAGGTGGGTGGTCGGAAGTCATGGTGTTCACTGGCGTGGATGGAGTATTCAGAGTCGTCGGTGAAGTTATGGCTACTCTAAACGGGACAGAAATTCCTAGAGGTTTGTGCCACCAAACTGCATAGTTGATAATAGTGAAAATGGCGTAACCGACGGCTACTATTTCGAGAACGGTGAGAGGGAGGTGTTGCGCTACCCTGGCAACGCATTGCAGGAGGAACCATGTGGCTTGACCCACGGCCACTGCTTTGGACAGACCATCGCCTTTATCTCGGTCATCGATTTCCTTCTTTTTTATTTCACCGAGCGACTTCACGAGGCTTGTGTGTTGTTTCAGCTTTTCCAGAGTTATCGGACATCCATCAGAGTCCACAAACGCGCCCATGGAAACGAGGAAACCGTGCGACATACTGAGCTTCTCCGGACAAACTAGGCTTACAGTCAGTATCCTGCTCTAAGCAAACATCGGATTAGAGTACTAGTACTCACGCGCACGAATAAGCCGAGCGACAGAATGTTGACGTAGAGCCCAGATGGTGATGTGCTCTGGGGAGAAAACAGTGAACACCATTAACTCCGCGTGACGAAGAACATTGAAGTAGAACCACCCTTTCTTCTCCATTTTTGGCCCTGGGACGTTCTGATGGACAGAAAACCAAATACAAGCGAAAATTGTGGCCAATGAATTCCAGAGAATGGATAGTACGGTTCTGCCACCGCACAAATCGAAAATGGGTTCTTCGTTGGTCGGCGAGTCGGTCCCCTGAGTGTCAAGGGGCAAGCACGAACCAATGATGGAATAGAGTAGAAGGTATAGGGGTGCTAGCCTCAGTGCAGATGCAAGGCTCTTCCGACGAAGGAATAAGAATCAGCAGTCATCAAAGGATGATACAAAGAGCTCACCAGAGAGGAGGATCTAGCCATCGGTTGTACTAAGCGAGGTGGTAACAGTGGCGCACTGAAATCCCTTTAAAACGGATAGCGAGGCCCGTTCTAGGGAGACTGCATGACTTTGGTGCGGTCGGGTCGATCTACGGCCGTATTGTAGGTGGCTGTTATATCGGTGGCCGGGCGGTGGGAGTCATAGCTTCATTCCAAAGCCTCCGTAACCCGTATGACGCTGATCGGCTGCACGGAACTGAAAGAGTGAACAATTTAAGTACTAGAACTTGTCTTGCATGTGCCAGATTTTTGTATAGGGGAGCGGGCTGTACGGATGGCCCATGCTAGTCGGAGATAGAATACGTGTTTGCATCGGTATCCCGGACAAAGGTGATCAACTAGATTTATAGAGCCCGGTCACTGGTCAATGGATGCATGTCGTGTGTACGTGGGCGGTGATGAGCCATTACTTGCCCATGAGTATTTGGGCGCCTGTTTAGACATATCATATATGCGGTCGATTCAACCGCCTCAGCCCTTGACGCGACACTGTAGCAGTGACGAATATGAGGCCAGAAAGTGGATCAAATATCGGAGCTTCGAGTTACAAGTGGAGTGCCGTGAAAGAGCACAGACGATCCATGCTGCTGGCATATCCGTTATCGCCGTAGAGATGCAAGTTGTTTCTTTCCGTATTGGAAAAGTGTGAAACTGGAAGATTTAGGCGTGGTGCCCGCGGTGAGGGGTATTCATTGGTCTGGAATGAAGGATATAAGCGCCTTGTTATGCAAACCGTAGTAAGAATGCCTTGGACACTACGTCGGTAATGAAAATCGGGGTGTCTCCTGGGACGTTGAACAGGGAGAAACATACACCCCTTCCCTAGATCCGAAACGAAGGCCACGGGTCATCGGCATCATGGGAGGAGGTATAGAAAGCGCTAAAGTGTTACAGCGTGAGAAGTGCACCTTGAATTTGCATCAGCTTCTTTGGAAGCAGCACGAAAGATACGAAGACTTACGGAATGTCTTGTTGGTGCTGTGACGCGCTGAGTTCGTCAGTGAGCACACACAATGGGGAGGAACATATGTATTACCGTGATTATTGGAAATTTTTCAAAGTAACATCCCCGGTAATGTCGTGGTGAAAAGAAAGACGATTTATGCTAATCTTTTTTCAACACGCTGTGGCGAGATTGTACTCGAAGTTTGGCTAGCGAAGGATATTTTTGCTACCAATACTGCAATGCGAAGAAGCATACCCTTTCGAAATCTCATCAAATTAACTGGTGTAAGAGAATTATGAACAAGTCCCACGAGTAGTGATGTCCGGGCCGGGCTTTTCGGGCTTGGGCTGGGCTTTTGAGGGTCAGGCAGTGGAAATGTGTGAGCCCGAGCCCTGAGCCCGCCAAAGCCCGCCTCAGGGTCGGGCTCGGGTCGGGTATTTTGCTGGGCTTTTGGCATCCACAGGCATGAGATGAGGTATAGATGTCACCTCCGTGGTAAGTTTTGCTGTAATTTGTGATATTGATGCTTTAACCTCACAGATAAACCATACTTACCTTCTACAAAACCGATATCAGGATACTACAGTCACTCACCGGCCCGACACCAGGACTTGGGCTTTCCATAGCTTGAGCCCGAGCCTTGAGCCCGCCAAAGCCCTCCATCAGGGCCGGGCTTTTCAGGGCCAGGTCGCGGGCTTTAAGCCTGACCCGGACATCACTACTCACGAGGCTGATATCGCGGATCGCATTTGCCTGCCATTGAGTCGGTTGGTGCCATTCCTGCATCGATGCAGGGTTGCGATGACCACGCCGTTCATATGAAGGTTACAACATAAGCGCCCTGTGAAAGACAGCATTCAGTGGGTGTAAACATGCCAGAGGTATAATAAACTTACGTCGCGTGTTTCTCTTCCGAGCAACACGAACATGGTCCGAGAGGGTAGTCGCCTACGGACGTGATGTTTCTGAGGGTAGTAAGGCTGCGACAAGTGCTCCGTTGATTGACGTTCGTCATGTGTCTGCGTCCTTCACTGATTCGGAATGATCTGTCTTCGAAGAGCATAGAGGGGCACCCATACAACGTATGGCTCCTTGTTATTTGCTACAGCGATCCGGGCCGGAGTATATCTCAATGAAAATTCTACAACAGCGGACCAACAACTGACTGTATGGACTTGGTGGGTTTTCTATGGCTCTTTGTCAGTCTTAGGTATTCTGCGAAAAATATCCAGCCATACCTTGTACCGCAGTCAGGCTCCAGTGAATCAGAGGATTAACATGTGAAAAAAGCAGCCTATAAAACTAAGAGACTGATTTTGTATGCTTGGATGCCAGATGAGGAGCAAAGGGAAATCCTCGCGTAGCCTGTGGGCTGAATTTCCTCTGCAGAAAGATGCGGTTAGCTTCCTATTGAAGTCGTTAATAACTGAGGACGCAATGAAGACAACTGCAAGGTCTTCTCTTCCTGGTAAAGCTGCACACAGAGCTGAGAGGAGGGAGGTTAGAGGTTCGGAGTCACAGAGAAGGTCTACGGTACAAAATAATTGAAGAACATGACCTTTAACAAGCACCGTTCCATCTCGATCCGAAATTTTCATTGGTGCAAAATAACAAGAAAGTGAGTAGAATAATGTTGATTGAGCAGTTGCTGGTGGTGGTTAATGCGCCGGATGGCCGGGCCGTGCTATCTAAACAAATCAAAGCGAACAAGACACGCCCGAGCCTCGCGCCCCTTTCCTTCTTACCGCCATCATCTTCTCCCTCATACCAGCGTTGTCTTTTCCTGGTATCTTCTTCTCCTAGGCGAGATATTGTTGGAGTCTCACTATGAATATTCGCTCAATTCAGTTTGGTCGGGGTCGAGACACATTAACCTAGTACGACATTCAACAACGGAATAGTCAGGTATCGGTATTATCAGGGAGTTGTGACGCGTCGTGATGTAACTTGTAGTGTTCTCAAGCCAGCATGTACCGTGCCGCACTACTTCGTTGGTGAGAGTCCCCGTGCATCCACCCTTTTCGCCTCTCATACCTTCCGCGCTCCTTTAGGATATTCATTACCGAAGCAAAGCTCAAACTCGTGTGAAGGACTTTCAAAGTGATGATGCCTGTAGAAAGGATCTTAGAAAGGTGCGTGAACCTCACTCCGCCTTCGTTTGGTTTCCTCACCTTCTCATAGACCGTTATGATTCGTCCTTGTTGCCTTGATACTAACTTGTCCGCAGAGCGAGAGCTGGAGGCATGTCGAATCTTTCCCTGGATGCCCGTGTGCAACACTGAACTTCTGCCTTTGGCAGTGACAATCATCTACCAGATTGCGCGGAATCCTCGGAGAACTAGAAGGAGAGAATCGACATCATTAGTGTGTCAACAGAAAGTGTGACATCATCGGCTTGCCACCAGTGGTATAAAGTGCCTGAAGTGCCTATGGCAATTCCTGCTTTGTTTGGGCTCCCGACCTCTCTTTACGTCACCCCAAGTTCATCGTCTTCTATGCTTTTCTCCGTCCTCGCCTTTCTTGTATTATGCCCCGTCGTGCTTGGCGCCATATATGAAAGCTATGACAGCCTTCCCAAGAAAGATTTCCATTATATCATCGTCGGAGGTGAGTGGTACAGACGTACGTGACTCCTCGCTAATATCAAGTTCAAGGCGGGACGGCAGGCAATGTACTTGCCAATCGTTTAACCGAAGATCTGAATGCCTCTGTTCTTGTTCTCGAAGCGGGCGAATCGTGTGTATGCTCTCTTTCCAGCCGTTCAATGTTTGATGGGTTCCATAGAACAGCAGACGTCCTTCTCTCGCAGGTCCCGTTCTTTTCTCCTCGTGCAATAAAATCATCATTAGATTGGAACTTTACCACCACTGAGCAGCCAGGATTGAACCGACGGTCTATCCCATACCCTCGTGGATACGGTTTGGGAGGAAGCAGCGCCATCAGTATGTCGTCTTGCCTTTGAATGTTAACTGGACTGATGATGTGTGTGTCTGTGTGCTCTCAGATTCTATGTTCTATACCCGTGGTTCCTCGCAAGACTATGACCGTTACGCTCGGATCAGTGGTGACCCGGGATGGGGATGGGACGCTCTACGACCGTATATTCGTAAGGTAAGTCGTAACTTCTTTTACTTTACCCATTGCTATGCTGACCTTACGATAATCTGTCAGAATGAACGTTTCCTCACTCCTGCCGACCATCACAATGCTACCGGCAAGTTCAACCCCAAGGTCCATGGCTTCAATGGAGTCACGTCCGTCTCTCTGCCCGAATATCCGCGTGCCACGGACGACCGCGTCATTCAAACAACGATGGATCATGCTAGCGAGTTCCCGTTCAACTTGGATTATAATTCCGGGTACCAGCTGGGTATTGGTAAGAAGTTCTAGTTGACTGGACCATGAGCTTCGCTGAGTACGACGTAGGATGGGCACCCTTAACGATTGGAAATGGTACTAGAAGCAGCTCACAGACGTCGTATCTCGGTCCTGAGTTCATCGACCGACCAAATCTGCATGTCTTGATTCGCGCCCGTGTTACCCGGATTCTCCAAAGCAAGAACAACAATGCATCGCCCTACCTACCCTCATTTATCGCCGTTGAGTTTACTCAGGATGCTGGAGGCAAATCATCATCCAAGGCATTGTGACTACTAGCTGACATGTGCTTCCTAGTAACCAAGCACGTCCTGGCACCTTCGGGTTTGAAAGAGATCATTCTCTCTGCCGGATCCATCGGCACACCGCATATACTCCTTCATTCTGGTATAGGTGATAGCGACCTCCTTTCAGCTCTAGGAATTACTTCCATTGTTCACCTCCCCGATGTTGGCAAGAACTTGTCGGACCACATCCTATGGGACATCCCCTTTATCGTTACCGACCCCAATACGATCGACAACATTTATTACAGAAATACTACTTTCCAAGCGGAGGTTTTGGCCGAGTGGCAAGCCAATCGAACAGGCTTTTTGACAGCGGGTTCGGCAAACCAGTTAGCCTTCCTTCGTATCCCCGATACTGCCAAAGTTCTGAATGAAGAACCGTCCGCGGGGAATGAAACGGCGCATTACGAGCTGGCCTTTTTGGTGTGTTGAGTGTTTAATAAATCTTGCATAGGTTGAATCTGTGCTGTAGAACGGTCTTGTCAATGGTCCTACCAACGCCGGGAACTTCTTTGTAGTTGTATCCTCACTTCTTTGTCCTTTGTCGCGTGCGTGCTCAGTATATACCTTTACTAATACTAATGATTACGTGAATATAGGCGGGGATGTTACCATCAACAGCTTAAACCCATTGGACCCACCGCTGATCAACCCGAATTATCTCTCACATCCACAAGACCTCGCTGTCATAAAGTACGCTATCGAGAGTGTGAAGAGGTTTGTCAATATCACGGCGTGGGAAGGATATATTCTCGAGATGGCGACGAATACCACCGATGATGATATCAAGAATAGGGCATCAAGCGTATATCATCCGGTTGGCACTGCGAGTATGTCCCCGGTTGGTGCCGACTGGGGTGTGGTTAACCCGGATTTGACGATGAAGGGCGCGATGGGAGTGAGGATTGTGGATGCTTCGGTTTTGGTGGGTTTTTTTTCGATTGGGTGTATTTCTGGCAGGCTGACTTGGCGTCTTAGCCGTTCGTGCCTGCAGGACATACTATGGCGCCGGTGTATGCCTTTGCGGAGAGGGCAGCGGATTTGATCAAAGCTAGCTCGGCGAAAAGCAGCGGGTACTAGAGATGTTACTTGCTCATCATCGTATATATTTCCCGTACTGTTGTTGTCTGCTACTTTGGCTCACCACTCTGTCCGTATGAATACCACCCCTCTTGACTCTTAGCTTTCACATATAGCTTGGTGTTCAGTATGGAAGGATGCTGGAAAGACATTGTAAGTTACTCGTTAGATCTGTTCGGATGACTCTAGAGTGCTACTGCGTACAAGCGTATAACACAGCCTTTACTAATGCTAGCGGAGGTAATATCCGAACTCAAGCGTCGAGCGCTCCACCCTTTCCGCAGGTCCCCTGCAATATAACTTTTCTTTAGAAACCTTTCAGACTTCCAAGTAGGCATCTTATATCTCCGACGTCATCCTCCAGTAAACCATTTATTTAAGTGACTGGTAAGTATCTGTCTTGTACACACCACTGTCTCGGGATCTGGTAGCGTCCCCGCAACAGGGTCATCCTTCAAATTGATGTTGACTTGTCGCTGGTGTTTGAAAGACGAGGTATTAACATCTGTACCGCTACCACCACGTTTCTTTTCTCTTATTTCCACCACGGCAACTCGACAGTCGCTCTCTCTTCTGCATTCAATCCCAACAAGATTGCAACGCACCAAACCGCGTCGTCAATGCTCTCTGTCTCAATCGCTCAGCCTTCGCGTGGGCTTAAAGGCCCTGCCGCTGCCGTTGCAGACGGTGCTCTGTTGTTACGTCCGCAGATGGAGTCCCTTGCGAGGAATTTCATCTGTGGAGTGGTTACGTCCGCAGATGGAGTCCTTTGCGAAGGATTTCATCTGTGGAGTGGATACGTCCACAGGAGGTGTCCTTTGCGAAGGATATCGCCTGTGCAGTGGTTACGTCCACAGATGGGATCCTTTCCGAAAGATCTCACCTGTGCAGTGGTACTCGGTTGTTACGTCCACAGGTGGTGTCCTTTGCGAAGGATCTCACCTGTGCAGTGGTACTCGGTGGTTACGTCCGCTGGTGGTGTCCTTCGCGAAGGATGTCACCAGTCTGGTGGTACTCGGTGTTTCGTTCGCAGACAGTCTCTTTCTCGAAGGAGCTTGCCTGTTTCGCTGTTCTTGGTTTCCGTTTCATCATTTTCATGGGCTAAGGCTTGAGCGAAACAACGGGCCTCGTTTGTTGTGAGCACACGATGCTTGTGTTTCGTTCCTGCAGTCTGTGGTTCTTTGTTTCTTGGTGGATGATTCGTATGCTCTCATTACTGCTGACCTTCCATACACCTCATGGTCCGTGTACCATGTCTCACTCTCCCGTTACGCGTTTCACATTTGTTCACATGTTTTTTCACTGTCATTGTTGACGCACATGTCTCATGAGCCATTTCATAACGCTCCTCCTTTTGGACGGCACTGATTCTTATTAAGGAGCCTCTGCTTTCTTCGCAAGCAATCAAGGGGATAGCCCAAATACCGAGCTTGCATCCGCAAGCTCCATCACATTGCGGGAAGCGGTAGGCTAAGAAAGGATGCTGAGGATGATGTGTGTGGGGGGTGGTGGAGGTTCAGAAGTGATGAGCGAACCGCAAGGTCAGAGAGCAGGTGGTTGAGTACGTCGTAAGGCTGCCAATTCAAATTCGGCACGAATAGCAGGATGTTCCCGCACATATAGAGTCCATGCCTTGGAAGACCACCGACCCAAGGCCTGGATAATGGCCTCTGACAGTCCGAGCGATGCGTAGAATGTAGCTCCACCCGCTCGCAATGAGTGACCACCGAAATCTTTTCCCATAAATGTGAAGAATTTTTTGTCAAACCAAGAGCGAGTTGGGATAGAGCCATCCTCGCAAAGAAACAGAGGAGACCGTGGGCCATGACGGGAGTCCCGTAAGACCACATAATCGTATAGGAGTTTAACAGGGTCAGCAACGTCTTGGTGCGTGAATAAGACATCAGATCCGTGATAGAAAGGGTCTGATTTGTGATAGGGCAGATGATATTGTACGTGGCCATTGTCAAAGAGAAGTGAAGAGCGCTTGATCACCTTGCGATAATCTTGGAGCTGTTTATCGTTATTCCAGACCAGTTCTCCGGATCGATGACAGCCATAGAAGCCACATGAAAGAATAGTGATGAACAGGAGATCGTCGTAAGACCCTGACATTTGAGCCAAGAGTTGAAAAGTAGCGAGATGTGATTGGCGGAGGGGGAGCTTCCTCTGAACAGGGTCCGCCCGGACCTTTTTTGATCCTCGTATCGTTGCTTGTACTAGGGGAGAACGTCGACTGTCGTCAAAGTAGGGATAAATGTCTCGAAGAAAGTGTCAGACTCCTGAAAGATATTTCGGGCTGGAGGCAATGAATTGTGATGTGTATGCGATGTAACGGCTAAGCGTTAAGGGTGTTGGGTCAAGGGGAAGATGGTGGGAAATACAAAAGCGTGCATAGTCCCTTGCACCGGTAGCATAACCTTTAATTGATGCCAATTCGAGAGCATGGAGCTGAAGGAAGAGAGCCCGTTCGTCAATAAATGACAACGAGTGGACTGGGCGAGCTGTGCGTGGAGCACGCTCACCCAGGGCAGTTAAAAGCACTCTCTCCATCGCGCCGGCAGAAGCTCCCTTGGTGGAGTGAACGTGCGGACGCGGTCTGCAGGGAATTTCAGATGGTATTCGTCTATCAAAAGACGAGAGAGAAGATCAGCACGGATATTGTTCTTGCCTTCAATATGCCGAACTCGGATGTCTATTCCTGACTTCAGGATGAGGGACGCAACAGCCTGGAGGGGCGCATTATGCATAGATTGTGCCACCGCTAAGGAATTGAATGCCGCGACAGAGTCCAGGCTATCGGTGAAGAGAAGCAACCGGCAGGGTGGTTTAGGAAGGGACGTGGCATAGTGAATGGCGGCAAGGATAGCCATGAGCTCCAGGAAAAAGATGTCGATAATGGTACCAGGAGGCGGAGGGTGGAGTTGATACACAAAGCCATTGCCAGCGAACACAAAGGAAAGCCCCAACCTGAGAGCAGCATCAGTCCAGATGATCATCTCGGCTTGACTATCCATCCAATGTGTAGAGTCAACGAAACGAACGCCAACTGCATCAGGAATCGTCATCGACAACCATGTCAGATCTTCATGGACTGCTGCGTTGTGTTAGCCACTAACTCTTATCGACTTAGATCAACTCAAGATCGCCACTCGCACTTCGGTGGACGATACAAGAGGGGTCAAAGTAGATGGGAGGGAGTCAGTCGCGAACTTAGATAGTCACGAAACAGGGAGCTTTGAGATAGGTAGATTAAACCTTAGCCGAAGCTGGGGTTTAGACCAGCTGAGGCTCTACTTAAATACACGCTGAGTAGACTAAAAATAGTACTGTGAGAATGTCCAATCAGAACCGCAGCATAGAGTAAGCACGAATGCGTAAGAAAAGAAAAAGAAAAGAATAAATCGTAACATTACCCCCTCTCTAAGACTCGTTCGTCCCGAATGAGTCCTCAGTCCCTTCTCCACTTTGTTGAGACTGACTGTAAAAGGACATGGCGCTATCATCATCGTTGTCATCATCTTCGCTATCGAAATCCCAATTTTCATGGATGCGTTGGAGACAATCGAGATTAGTTTCGGATTCCTCGTCGAATGTATCCCCTTCTATCATGGGTATTCCTTCTGCTTCGTCTGCTGTGACTTGCAATTGATTAACCTGTGAGTATTCGGAGGAGGGATAAGAGTCTTGTTGGCTCTCTGAGTGTTTTGGGTTCGTGCAGTCTGAGGAGTAAACAGTTTCAATGTCCGTGACGCATGGGGTATCGGGGTCGTGATATATCATCCCCACGTTAGGGGGTATCTTCGTATCTCTTCCGACCGTCTTTCCGTGTTTGTCGACCTCCCACTGAATGCGCCGGAGACGAGCTTCGTACTCGTTGACTAATTCTTCTGCGTTGGCCATGTTCGACCGCTTTACCCAAGAATTCTCCTCCCGCGGGTAACCTTTCCATTTTACGAGGTATTCCGTTATCGTGCGGCGTGTTCGTCCGCGACCTATAACTTTGTCCCGCTGCTCCACGATTTCTTCGATCTCGTATTCCTCCTCGTCGTCAATTAGTTCTGGAGGTGGTCGTTCAGGACGTGGCTGAGTGGGGAAGGCAGGGGCGACGTAAGGCGTTAGAAGTGATTCGTTGAAGCGATTGTGAATCCTCCATCGGACGGGTAATTTTAGCTCATAAGCGGAGGCTCCCTTCTTGGCGATGACAGTGAAGGGACCCACGCGACGGTCTCCAAGCTTCTTCGTAGGGCGAGGGAGACTTAGGTTGGTCATGTCTAACCACACCTTGTCCCCTGGTTGATACTCCATTGCCTGGTCTTTGCGCTTGTCGTAAGCCTTTTTCATTGACTCTGCTGCTTTTTCCAGGGATACCTTCGTCTCCTTCTGTGCCTTCTCGATCTCCATTACCAACTTTGCCGCTGCTGGGACTATGGTCGGTTTTCGTGATGCGGTGATGACCTGCCCATCTCTCCCAAACACTATCTTGTACGGGGAATACCCAGTGGACAAGTGTTGGCAATTATTATGGGTGAAGGCTGCTAAGGGCAACCATTCACTCCAGTCGTCCTGTCGGTCATTGACAAACATCTTTAGGTATTTCTCGATCTCCTGATTTACCCTTTCCGTCTGCCCGTCCGTCTGTGGGTGGTACGCGGTGGAGGGGTTCCCTTCGACGTGAATGAGGGTATAAAACTCCTTCATGAACTTGGAGACGAAGACGGAGCCGCGATCCGAGATGACTTTTTCGGGCATTACTCCGTAGGGTACATAGACGTAATCTCTTAAGATCTTGGCGAAGCCGAGAGAAGTGAGCTCTTCCGTACATGCAATAGGGATGATGGTTTTAGAGAAACAGTCGACGATCACTAGGATGGAGTCGAAACCCCTTGAATCCGGTAGTTTAGTGATCATATCCACGGAGATGTGGGTCCAAGGGCGAACCGGGACCTCGTTGGGATGTAAGGGAGCTTTCTTTGGACGACGATCCGCCTTGGTTCATT